TTGCACCCTGATCTCCACCTTTGGTGACGTGTCTGTATTTAGAATGACTGCAAACTGAGCTCACCACAGCTACTTATTAAACAGATATTTTGAAGTGGGGTTGCACTTGTATGTGGTGCTTAGCTATATTTAGTGTATTACCTACAGTGGATAGCGGTTAGCAAGCTCCGAGTTTGGAGAAGCAGGCAGGAGTGCCAGCACGGGAGCTAAAAAGTGCACTGCTGTGGATGTTGGCCAGCAGTAAAATGTATTTTAGCCACCTAGAAAAAGGCCCACCTAAAAAAATCTATATCTGTGTAAGTGTACACTATATTTAGAATATTTTCACCACTTTACCTTGGGCCCAGACAGCCCTGTCCAACAAGGAACTGAAGCTGGTTGTGTTATTGTGTGACTTTGCTCAATCCAGGCTAACTCTTTAAAACACTAAAGTCAAACAATAACCCTTAGATCTAACTGATTGAGGCAGCGGTAGACCAGCAGCTCCTGTGTCCTTCAAATAGAGCATTGATAAGTTTCACTGTCAATTAAGTTCTCCATCATGAAGGGCTGACGGCAAGGTAAAGTGGTGAAAATATTCTAGATATAGCGTACACTCAAACTGATATTGATTTTTTTAGATGGCTAAAATGTTTTGCTGCTGGCCCCGATCCATGACAGTACATTGCTTAGCTTCCATAGTGGTACTCATGCTTGCTTCTCCAAACTTGGAGCATGCTAACATCTACTCTAGGAAAGACAGTGGGTGCGGTTACATGATGGCTTCTCGTTCGGAATTAAATAAATCTGAATGAAAGCATTTGGAATTAAAGTTTTTCCAGGTAGTTTGCATGGGAAATATTTATTCTGAATGAGGGTTTACACCGGAGATCAGTTCAATCGCCCTTTAATCGCCTGTATTCAGGTCTGCTCAAGGTTTGGGGCAGGGAAGGTTTCTGATTGGATAGGGGGCGGGGCGAATGTTACGTGTTTTAGAAAACACTGTAGTCCTCGCTCCAGATAACAAGATGCTTGACGACGCCGTTCTTAGTGCCTTTTTTGGGCTTGTTTTGCTTATATTCTCGAAGTAGCAGTACGACAACAACCTTGTTCGGCTAATGCTTCATCTGTTGAGGAGGAGAAGAGAGGTAGAAGGTCGAAGAAGGAAGATAGATGACCGTGCTGCGGCGAATGGAAACTGGTTAGTGCAACGAGTCAGCCCGTTACTATGCGCGCTATATACATCATCGCGCCAGAAGGGCAAGGAAACGAGCATGCGCAGAAAGACCGGAATGAACTCAAAGAGGGATGAGTGTAAGTGCGAGAAATTCTTTCATTCGGAATTAGAAACTGAATATTCCAGCCCCTTACATCGGATTGAATTTTCAGTCTCATTGGCCATTTTCATTCTGAATAAGGTGTTTACAAGATCACTTTTAATAGGAATGAACTTTCATTCCGAATGAAAAGGAAATTAAACTGTCCATGTAAACACACTCACTGACTATGGATTAGTACCTCATACAGCAACACTTCAAGAAATCTGAATGTCCAAAGTGTTGCCCCTGAAGTGTGTTGTGTAAAAGTGTAATTTAATTTTGAGTGCTGATGGGAGAGTATCTCAGCTGTGGTATGGCACGTCCATAACCTTGACCATGACCAAGTGTGTGTTTTTACAGAAATAGACTTCTTCAAGCTCCACTTACTCCACCAGTCTGATTTCGTACACACTGTAATGAGAGGTTTTTAAGACACACACACAGACAAACCATGGTGATAGCTCATTAACACTGCTGCTCAATCCAAATTTCCTCAGGAAACAACATTTCTGCAAACGCTTAGCGCTTTTGGGATTGGTGTTTTTGTGCAAGCAGACCAGAGATATGGTGATCAGTGATGCACTCACAAGAATATGAAACAGCTTACTATCCAAATATTTTGCCCATGAATGCTGATTGGGCAATGAACTTTCTTATTTAATGACAGGTTATATGAAGTGTACAAGCACAGTTGTTTTCACATCGACTTTGTTTGATGGGATGAATCATCACTGGTGGGCATCTGGCCAGCTTCAGACTGTTGTCACCATCACAATCTCACTGTTTCAGTTAGGCATGAATCACAGTGGAGTCACAGTATGTAGGACATGAGGTAAGTGGGAGAACTGTAAAGCCCTGAAGGTTCCGGGATCAGGACTAAAAAAGTAAGTCCTTGAATGGTGGCTAATGGTTCGAAAAAGCTGCATCCAAGTACAAGCCCGCCCAAGGTCATGCTCTCAAAAACAGTATTTAAAGGTTCAGTGTGTGGGGGGGATATATTGACAGAACTAGAATATCATATAATAATTATGTTTTCTTTAGTTTATAATAACCTGAAAATAAGAATCAATGTGTTTTTTGTTACCTTAGAATGAGCTGTTTTGATCTTCATAGGGAGCAGGTCCTCAACTACGGAGTCTGCCGTGTTGCACTGCTATGTTTCTACAGTAGCCCAGTAAGCACACATTGGCAGGGGCTAGGCTAGTAGCCCGTCTCCGGTATGCCAAACAGCATTGAGGAAAAACTAATTTGTGACTCGAAACTGTTTTATCCAGTGTTTTTTACTGGTTTTAATCACCTGGTCAGTTTGTTTTAGAGAGGAGGAGAACTCTGCAGATAATTCGGCTCCCAGTAAAAACCTCCTGATCAATGAACACGGAAGAAATTCTAAAAGGGGATTTGTACTTGTGTGACAGACCTTATGCAGTAGCTTATGAACATGACCTATGCCATTGTGAGCATTTAATTTTGTGCAGTGGTGTGTCTGTCTCACTCTGCAGTTACACTTCTAAAACAGTAGTCGGTGGTGGGGTTTCTGTGAAATGCTGTAAAGTTTAGTTGAGTCAAAACACACCCAAAACACACTATAAACATGGCTTAATAGAGACAATCTCAAACACAAGTACACAAATCAGCTTCACTACGACTGGCAGCATTCACAGACAAAGCCCTTGTCTTTTGCTGGACACATTTTCCCCACAAATACAACATGCTAATGTTTTCTGCAAAAGCCTATGGCATTTTACAGTGTGTAAATTAGCCAAGCAGCTGGTAGACTTTTTCTCTTCTCATATGAAGCCAGGGACAACAGCAACATTTTACAAAGTTAACCTTACAAAATTAGGCTCCATTACAGCTCACAAGGTTCACCAACAAAACAACTGTCTTATACTATACACGTTTTCCAAACAAATGTAACATACTAACGTTATTAGCACAAGCCTATGGCATTTTACATTGTATAAATTAGCCTAGCGATGAGCGGAGATTCCCTCTGCTCATATGAAGCCAGAATAACCCCCAAAGTATAAATCCCCGAAAGATAAATCAAACACGACTTAAAATCCTATTTTTGTGGAGGCTTTATTGTCTTCACAATTTATTGTTTCTCATCTGTGGGATTAAAATAAATTAAAGCTTTGGTTTCAGCTTAAAAAACAGACAGGAAGTCTGTCTCGCTACGTGGATGCAGAGCCTAGGCTGTAGGTAAGGTGTCATTTCTACGCAGAAGTATAAATCCCACGTAAGCAGTAGAAGTTTCAGCTGGTTGCAATCTGCAATCCTCACAGCTAGACGCCACTAAATCCTCCTAAATCTTACACACTGTTCCTCTTAAGAACAAGGGTCTCTCATCTATATGAAAAGCCTCTTTGCGGGATCCTCATTCTTTTTGTTTTTGGTTGCATGTTTATAGGACAACACGGTTTATCTCTACATGCAGTCTGTAGGTAACTATGGTGACATTAGAACTGAATGTTAAATATAGAATAACAAAAAATAGCATTGAGGCATGGTGGTTGAGATTATGTAGCGATTAGACACCCAGAGAGATGATGATTATGTGATAAGATGCTGCCACAGAGTTGCACTCCCTCAGCTGCAGTTGTTTCTACTTAAGTCATGTCATGTGTTCAGTTTCATAGGAGCTTTTGTGGTTGTCAATTTTCATACTTAACACCTGATGTGAGAATCTTGCTTCTAGCTCTGTCTCATGCTCTCCTGCCACCTGAAGAAATGCCAGGCCAATTAAAAAGAAGCTACAAAGGCCACCCTGTGATGGAAATAACTATTTCTACGCCCCATCAGACCTCCATGAGGTTTTATTTTTAACATGCTGGAGAATGAATGTAAACAAAAGTCTAGGCAGCTAACTCTGAGCCACAAGAATGGCCACGATGGAGCTGAAGAGTATCCCACCAAGAAGAAACATTTTGGTACGTTTAATGAGAAGTGGTGTGAAGACGAGCGAGAACTTGGCTATGGAAAAGTTGATAATTTCACAGTTGAATTCATTCTTTGCTGGCATTCTTTTCCCTGTCAAATTTGAGGGGAGGCATGGGCTAATGTGTCACGCTGCCAGCAAGAAATAAAAGGATTTGGACAAGCACACTCTGAAAAATACAAATTACAAGCAGAAGGCGAGCGTTGAAAAGCTGAAAGGTTAAAAAAACAATGAAATTATACTGTTGTTGTGTTTGTCAAGTGAAAATAAAAATATTGTAATTGAATTGCTGGTCTTTTGGCTTGTGTTGTGATATTGTGGTGATGAACAGACACCTCTCATGAAGTGCTTTATGCCCATCTTTTTAAACGATGCAACAGTCTTTGTCACTAAAGTGGTTTTTAAGACTGAACTCTTGATGATACGAAGGGCCAAAGTCGACTAATCTCTCGCTGTCTGTGTCTCTTTATCTTGCTTTGCGACTAGCTGTGCCTGAGTTTCTTTCTTCTTTCTGCTTTGAGTTCAAGTGTTGTACTTCGTCTCATAGTGGCTGTCACTGTGTTGTTGATATGGTGATAGTTTTATGGAGTCTCGTAATCGAGATAACACCACAGCTTCTGGACCGGAGCTGACAACACTGAGTAAAAATGTGCTTTCCAGGATTTGGCCTGGCATGGCATAGCAGGCCACAATCCACATATGCATGAGTCATACATTGCCAAACACACATACACACACAGTCACACACCTGAGCCACTTACCGAGCCAGTGTTCACCGGTGATCTTGCCAAATCCCTCCCGATATGACTCCCATGTTCGGAAGAAGTTGACTGAACCGTCCTCCCTGCGTTGGATCACCTACACAGCCAAGACAGCAAGACGACAGGTCAGGGGTCAGATGAGACTCATCTCACACGGAGTGTCTCATCCTCCTCTGTGATGAGTCATTCCAAGTCCCACTGTTGGTCGCTAAGCTCATCTCCAACTAAACTAAATGAACTCATAAACGCTTGCTCTTTCACAAATGAATAATGCAAACGCTCTTCCCTCTAAAAAGGCAATTTGTCGGAAGCTAATAAAAGGAATCCATTAAATCTTGACTGACTTTGAATCAAATCGCTATGGAATCTGCATCCTTAATTGAAATCCCAGGAAAGAGATGATATTCATAAAACAATAATCCTAAATACACAGAGAGATATTTCTCTTCTTCTTCTGTACCATGAATCATGAAATTCTAAGTAGCAAGGGTGTGTGGAGAAATTAGTTTTTTATAGCAACAAACAAAGGAAATATTAGCAATAGCAGATGTTAGCTGTGTGTGTGTGTGTGTGTGTGTATGTGATGATGCAGTATCTGTATCAGCCTATGAAATACCCTATGCATTAAAATTGCTGACATTCCAACTGCCAGGTTGAGGATGAACGGAAATTGGAAATGTGCTCCTGAAGAGGAAATGCATGCAGATGGAAAATAGCTTAAGACTTGCCGTTGGAAGGCAGCGTTAATGTTGAAATGACAAAGGAAATTCCCTGAGACAGTTTATGTTCAGCGTGACTAATCCCCTAATATACCATAAGGTACCAGATGGCACCAACAGCCATATTTGCTTTTAACATCAGAGCATACAAAGAACAAAATCCTGCAGAGCAATGGGAAAAATCTTCATCCTCATCATTTTCCTCCTCATAATTGTCTTCATTGTGATCATCTTAATCATCATTACTAGATCATCATCACTTAACACCATCTAGGCATTATAGGGATTTTTCTCCACATCTTAAAATAAGCTAGCTTCCTCATCTCCTTATTCAGAGCTCTCAAAACTCCTCCAACATGATTTCAAAGATTCGTTTGCTCCCTGTTTCCAGAGGAATGATCATCTTCAAACCTACATTTTGTTTTATTTTCAGAAACCTCAACTGTCCAGCATTTCCAATGTAAAGTTTTCTAAGATATCAGGCCTCTAGCATGAGCATCATCCCTGGCAGCCACTACACCCAAGTCAGACAGGAGAGCAGCTAAAACTCCTTTAAGATTTAATGTGGTATTTTCCTGTATTTTTTTCATTTTTCGACACAGTCAACTACAGCCCAACCACATACTGTCTAAAGATGGATAGTCTGAGTGGGCGGAAGTTCGCTGCATAGATCAGCCTCTCATTGGGCGGAACGAGCCACCTGCTGAAGTCCCGCCCTACCACCTCCGGCTGTGTAGCAGTTTTCAACCGTTTTCAACACGTCCTTTACTAACTTTTGTGGTGTTTGATCTTGCGGGGATGTAGCCATTTTTCTGCCATGGTTCGCGTCCTGTAGGTGATATTTTTGTGGGCGTGTTACACCAAAACCTGTTTCCCCCCGGCAATATTTTTGCAAGTGCACCGTTGCTGTGGCACCGCCAAGAACGATTGTGATTGGTTGAAAGAAATACAAGCAGCCGGGGCGTTTTTTTCTCCAATCTTAAAGTTAGAGTCGGCGCAGCCAGACCTTTCTTTTCTTAAGAAAGGTCTGGTGAGCGAGACTAAAAGATGGAAGACATGACAGCTCCCCTTTAGTAAAGCCCAACTATCTTGATCGCCCCCTGGTGGCTGGCTGCAGTATATGTCATAAACCCCGCCCCCTCCATGTTAGCAGATGGGACATGAGCCAAACTAAAGACTTGATAATGATAGTCTCTGTCATTTTAGGCCTTACTGTGCTGATGTGTGTTCAAGTTTTTGTTTTTTTTTCTGATTAGTTTTTTAATTTGTAACTCAATATTTTGGCTTTTTTTTTTTTTTTTTTTTTTAACAGTGGGAGTAAGTGGAGATGTGTTCTTCATGTTTATAAACATTTTTGAGGCCAAAACAGATATGGATATTTGACAGTTTAAGAAATCTGATATGATATACTGTCTGTAAAGCTGGACGATAAGGAGAAAATCAAATATCACATTTTTTTTGTTGTTGTTGTTGTTTTTTTTGTTTTTTTGTTTTTTTTTTTACCAAAAACCGCCATATCAATATTGCAATGATATTGTAGGGTTGACTTTTGGTGCTTTCACAAAATATTTACACAATGAGATTTTTGATATATAATCATCAGTAATGTGGATATAATGACTAAGAAGGTAAAGGTCAATAATAGACCAGCTAAAGCAGTCTGGTAAGTTCAGAAAATTACATCATTTTACTGTAATGCAGCCTTTGAAACCAGGAACAAACAATATTACTAAAAACAACATCTAAGACGATTTTCATATCAAAATTGTGATATCAGAATAGATATTGTCTTAGATATCTAGTCTTACATCACAATTTTGATGTGATATCAATAGATTGTCCAGCCCTAATTGGCCAAAATTAAATACCAAAATTTAATAGAAAATAAAATTAAATAACACACACACACACACACAAAAAAAACCAAACATTTTTGATCCTCATATCTTTTTTTCCCTGTAAATTGTGACCACAACACATAATGAGCAGGGCATTTTACAGGGCAAAAATCAACATGTCAAAGCTAACAATCTCAAACCTTATTGGGTATTTCTGTACTGCAATTTCTTGTCACTATATCCTATATATCAGGATAAAAGTCTTTAGAAATGGCTTAAAATATTTATCAAGAAATGGCTAAATAAGGTCCTAAAACAGTTGCGTACCATAGTTTTTAGTAAATGTTACTTAGTCAGGATTGATAGTGCATTTGTCTGTAACTATTTTCAGCTGTGGAATACCATGCATTTGGTCGATGGGTTTATTTTGTCCAATCTCATGACACAGCCCTGCTGCTGTCAAAGCCCGAGTGGCCTTGCTCATGGTAATGACAAACCATGCCAGCCTGTGTAAGGGTGTGGCTCAGTGATGTGTTTTGAACAACAATGGCACAGAGGGATAAGATATACTCCAACACAGCTCTGGCTACACAGGCAATACTTGCCTTTTTATCTGATTTGTTAACAATAAAAGAGACTTGAATGTTCACCCCATTACAGTATCTTTTTAGAGCAACTGAAACATACAACTGACAGTCGTTTCTTTTGCTTCTGAACACCCCACGCACATACTGTAACCCTATGATATGTTTGTATCAGTGAAACCTGTGAGGTCACAGTTTGCAGGGTGCTGCGCGAAGCTGTCAGCTAAACATAAAGAAACAAAGGGATTTGTATCAGCTGTTGCATAAGACTCTCACAGGCTTTGCCCCAGTCACGGTGCATTAGACTAGTGTCCCAGTTATCTCTAACGATGTCAGTGATTATACTTAACTTCCTTAAACTGACATGGAAATCTAACTCTACAGTTAAACAGAATTTCACTCCTTGTTTTAAATCTGAATCGGAGATCACTGTAATTAATATGACTGTATTACTGACTATTATCAGCATGAGCAATAGTTTACTGTAGTCCTGTGTTACTCACAAATCTAGAGGGCAGATTATTGCTGCAGATTTCAATATTAATGTCTGGTATACAGTGTATATAAATAATGCTATCAATCATTCATAAACAGGGCTGGAGGGTGGAGCTCATTTTCACATTCCAAGTGTTATGCTATAGAACAGCTTCACACACAGATGGAGTGGTTTCAGTACACTGCAATTCAGTTAATAAAACAGCATATTCTCAAATTGTAGGGTGTGTGTCAGAGTGTTATTATACTTAACACATGGCATCAAGTGTCAGTCACAGGGCGTGACAGCTGAAGGAGGATGCTATCAATGAAATAAGATCCCAGAGATCCCAGGGATAGTTTATTGTGATTTTTCGTTGTCTTAGAACATGCACATAAATAATAACATCACAATGAATGAAACTTTTACAGACATGACCCGCTAATAGCACACAGATGAATCTATAGTATGACCTATCTCAGTTCAGGGGCAACAGCATCAGAAACACATTGCTTTAGTGTTTGGTAGTTACCTCTTTCTTTCTGTGCTCACCCTGAAATAAAGAAGTATTTTCATAAAACATGTTTACCTCGATGAAATCCTTTCATGATGATATTATGTTGGACTCACTGGGGCCAATAAGCTGTTAATAAGGCTATTACCGCAACAGTGCCTTGATTAGACTAATCAAAAGACCTTGGGAAAAAGGCTTTGGCATTTGACAGTGCAAACAATGCACCGTCATCATGTTACTGATATGTCAGCAGGGCACTCAAGGACTGTGAGGGAGCCGGCCCCTGTTGTGTTTTCTACTGATTGCCTGGGTTAACTGGTGAGATTTATGTCAAAGGTTTGTGCAAAAACCAACTCTCTGCTAAAGGCACTGCAATAAAGCACGGCTGGCTTAAACGTAGAGGCCAACTGCTGGTTGAAAAAGAATGACAACATTGATGTCACTTAATTCTCCTTGAAATAATGACCTTCCAGCCTCCTTATCTTACTCCCTCCTTCCTCTTACCCCTCCTCGTCCTGCCATTCAAATTAGCTGAAATAGAGAAGACTGCAAATTGATAATGCTGTGTTAAAAATGAGGTAGCGGTTTTCCTTTTCATCCATCCCTAATTGTATTTTTTTTTCTCTCCCCTGGCGCTCACTGTATTAGCAGCAGTTTCGAAGGCAAGAGAATTGCAAAAAGTGCCCCCTCAACTCAATAAATCACAAGAAACTTCAGAAAAAAAATCTTCTCTTTTGCAAATTTACACCAAAGAACGTCAAGCCGATGTGTCAGACTACAGTTGGTCTTTATGAAAAGATTTTAGACAATGATAACTCAAGTCCCTAATTTCTATTCAAATCATCCATGGCCTTTCAGAGCAATGTATTGCTCACATTATCACAGCTCTAAAAAAAAAAAAAAAAAATCAAGGCCTGTCTGGCTGCATACATACTGTAAAGCCACCTGACATATGACAAAGATGTCT